ATATCCTTACAGTATTAAATACACTTTGATGAGCTCTACAACTTTTGTTAAAAGCTGAAGAGTGATTTACTTAGTATAAAAAAAAGTTTTAGATAGACGCACTGTGCATTCGCATTTATAGTAAAATTTATATATAAAAAAAAAATTTTTTATCCAGGTGACTGGCGGATTGCCTAAGATTAACTTAGTATAAAAAAAGTTTTAGATGTGTGTACACCACATTTGGAGACCTCCAATTTTTATAAGTAATTTGAGTCACATTTTACTATGATCATTCTCTGGTTGACTAGTAGATCACCAATTAAAGAAGAAAAAAATGATATAGAAGTTAAAAATAAAGCAATCAATTTTTTAAACAAATTAAATTTATAACTGATCCCCAGGTGGGAGAGCGCGACACCACACCACCTGGCAAAAAAAAAAGCAATAGGAAATCGCCTGAGCTTTTGTAAACAAAAGCTAATTAATAAAATAATAATTTGTTGTAAAAATAATAATATTTATTGAATATATAAAAAAAAATTACAAATTTTGAAATGAAATTTCTTTAAAAATAATTTCTAATTCCATAATAGAAGCTAGTAATTTGGGGCGAAATCTGTATAACTCAGATTTAATCTCGAATGAAGATAATTTACTTGCTAATTTTATCACATGTTTGTTTTTGTTTTTTGAATCATAAATTAAATTACATATTCTTAAATATTTAACAAAAACATGATTTGTCTTTTTCATCTTTGATTTAAGACAATTGTTACATATTGAACAAACATAATTTAAGACTATCTCCGATAAATTAGGATCATTAATATCAATTCATAAAATTAGATCATTTAAATTTAATATATCATTAACTAAAATTGATCACATGATTTCATTGTAATTTTTTCTGAAATATTTTGGTGTTTTTGTAATTGCTTTTTTGTTTTTATTTCTGTTAAGCTTTTCGATATTTCTATAGATTCATAAAGGTCTTGAATCGAATTTATTTAGCTGAATTGCTACTTTGCTTATAATAATGTTCTAATCGAGCAATCAAGATCAAAAGTGATGGTTTCTTTATAAATAAATATGGTTTGAATTCAAATTTACTATAATTAAGTGAAAGGTTTATCACATATTCATTGGTAGTAGAATTAAAAATTTCTTCTTTAATTTTTTTGTACTTCGCCAAAAGATTATCTTTGATTTGCAAATGTCGATATTCATAAAATATCGAAGAGACAACTTTATAAAATTTACCAGATAAATCAGAATTATTTACTGAAATATCAAGCTCAATTTTATGTTTGTTACATTGTAAAAATTTTTTAGCTTTATTTTTTAGTAAATTCTCCTCAAGATATTCCTGATGTCTAGCTTGTATTCGATTAATTTATCTACATTCATTTCTATCCAGTTTTTTTAATTCAGCTTTAGTTGGAAATTTAATCATTTTTTAATTAATAAAAAAAAATATTTTTTGAAGGAAATGAAATAGGCGCTTTGTATTTATAATTTTTTATATAGTGTATTAACATATAATATAAGATATTAAAATTAATTAATTTGTAAAATTTTTATATTAAGATTAATTTGGTACAAATATTTATTTAATATGCATTGTTAATCTTATATTTCAAATTAACAATAGTTAAAATCTATTTTTAGAAATTTTTTACCAAACCAAAGATTTTTTTTTTTTTTTTTTAAGCAGTCTTGTCTTTATTTATTTAACAACTTTCTAGACTATCAACGTGTACATAATCTCTTTGAAGTTTAATATTTTAATCTAATAAAAACTCATCAAGCCGAAGCCCAAAGTGACCCGCTAAAACAACAATTAGTCTCTCTTAGGATCCAAAACTTACTAAGGATTTCGTAC